GCTGGGCGACACCTCGGGGCACAGTGAGCACAGGCTCCGCCTGAGCCTGTGGCCACCCCACACGGCGCGGCCAATGCTGACAACCTGGCGGGAGGAGGCACCTGCCCACGCGCCTCCACCAGCGCTCCAGGGCCAGGCGGCCAAGCCGGGCTGCCTCTTGCCTGTGTGTGGGGAGCGGCAAGTCACTCGGGCCGGGAAGCAGTGGCTTCCCCACGTGGTGCTGGGGACGGGAGGAGGCAGGCCGGGTCTGCACTCCTCTTCCCACATGCACCGCGTCGGCAACATGAAGCTGACGCGGTGCGTGTGGGAACCTTGTCTCTTCCCAGCCCTTCAGCAGCTGTTAGGAGGCTGCTGGGGGAGGGACAAGGGGTGGGAACGAAAGTAAACAGTGTTCACTTCTGTTTCCCATCGCAGCATCTCGGGCCTCAGAAAATGCCTTGGCGGGCTGCATGGTGGCCCGCAGGCCATATGTTGGACAAGCCTGGTATAGTATATATATTTCCTCTTTGTACAAAAGGAACCTTTTTTTCCTTTAAAAAATTACATTTTTTAAAAATGAAAATAGTACAGGTTCTTTGAAGGCAGCTTATAAAGCCTTTCTCTTTATTAAGAGCTCCGCAAACAAAAGGCTTTAAGATTATACAGTAGCGATCCAGTTCTAAAGTATTATTTCTCTTTCAGCCCTTGGATATACCTGATGGTCGAAGAGCACCTTTACCAGCTCACTATCGTAGCAGTAGCACACGTAGCATTGATACACAGACTCCATCTGTTCAAGAACGCAGCAGTAGCTGCAGCAGCCATTCACCATGTGTTTCACCTTTTTGCCCTCCTGAATCTCAGGATGGGAGTCCATGCTCAACAGAAGATTTACTGTATGACCGGGATAAAGGTGAGAGTAAAATGGTCCACTTACGCATACTGAGATGGCATGTGGTGTCCTGCTTTTACTACTACCTTCATTTTGCTCATTACATCATTTATTTTCTTATTTTTTGTTTGCTTGTGGAGGGATTGCGGTTAAAGACTGATCTTAAAATCGGTTTTGTTGGTTTACATATTTTTTCCCCTCTTGTTTGTGAACCTTCACAAACATCTTCCATAAATACGTCAGAGGAGCACAGCAAGTGGTCATAACTTTTTGTGAAGATTAGCACATGAAGAATTCAGAAAGCTACATGTATGTGTTTTAAAAATAGCTTCATGAAGGATCATGGTAGAATTGGTGTTCATCCTATGGGTTGGTTACTTGCTGATCAAAACGCTGAATTTATGAATATGTTTTTGAACCTTCTTGAAAATGAGTTCATTTTTTTTCTAACATTGCTTTTTTTAACCAGCTGAGCAGCAGTAGTTAACAATTTGTATTTTCTGATGGAGTAGGTTCTTATTTAGGTTGGGCTGCGTTGTGTAACAAAACAAGATTTCTGAATGATGTGTTATATGTAAACTGTTAAATTTACTGTTAATGTCTTGATTTTTTTTTTCTTGTTAAGTTTGATAAATGGAAACATAGCTTGGCAGAGAGAGTAACCTAAGATCCCACTATTTGAAAGAGCAAGTTGATAGACAGCTCATGTATTACAGAATGATGTAGCAATCTGAAACATGAATTTTGGATAATACTATTTGCTAATGAATGGTTTTTTGATTCCGGGTAACTAATCAAAACCTAAATTGGCCAGAGACAGACTCCATTTTGTGGGGAGGACACAGCCTGTTTTGAGAAGTTCAGGCTGAGAAAAGGTAAGTTCCACAGAGGTAATTCTTGTTTAAGGTTTGGATTGTCTAAAATAATTAATTTCTTTTTTGTAATTAACTTTTAAAAATGGATTAATAAGTGAGCTAAATAAAGCAGGCCGCTGAATGAAATGGTGAAGACTTTCATGTTCGTATTCTCGGGGGGGGGGGGCTGCATGTGTGCGTGTTTGCTTGCTTTTCTCCAAATACACCTTTAGTTTCATGTACTGTAAAATGAAGAAGGTTGTTATTTTGAAGGAAATACTGGCTCTTCTTTTTAAAGAGTGTAACTGCACTGTCTTTCATCAGGAAAACCGGTAATGGGGGAGTGGGGAAGGAATGAACTGTTGAATTAATTTTGGCAGTGTTGGGGGAGGAAAAACAACCTCACAGCAAGTCTCTTTGGCACAGACTACTAGTTGGCCAGGCTTCAAAACCAGCAGAGACTTCAGAAGGCAAGTATAGATGGACCTTCTCACTAACAGCACATGTGTGAGCTCTGTGTTGCTTATCCAGGCAGCCTAGACTGCCATCAGCAAAAATATGTACACACCAAGTACTTAGTTAATTTATAGGTACATTTGCCATTTCTTCACAACATGTACATTAAATGCAAGGAAATGCAGAGAAATAGAAGCGTTTAAGTCCATAAGTTTAAAAAAAAATGCATCTGAACTTGACAATAAATAAAAAGAACCTTATTTTGTGTGTATTAATTTAATAAATAAAAGAAAAAGCTTTCAGTATTTAAATTTATTGGGAGCATAATACTACTTGTATCAGTGAATTAAAATGTTTTGAGAACGGCTTTTTAAGGGTGTTTTAAGATTGTTGTTGTTGTTACTATTTAATACCATAACAGATTTTTAAACCACATTTGTTGAACCTACTTTGTGATTAGAAGATTGAGCCAAGAATTGAACAATTGAAATATCTGGAATTTGGATTGCTTTTCAAGTATCATATCTTTAACCTTTTGGGGGAGAGAGGGACCTTATTTGGCATTGTTTTTCTGCTGAGCTTCACAACAAAGAGCCATTTGTCTACCTCGTTGTGGACACTTTTCTTACGACTGGTCTTTATTGGGGTGGGGAGTGATTTTTTTAAATCGACCATAGTGTATGGCTAGAACATTTTTTAAAAAGTCTGCTTTTATAAAGTTACTTTAAGAAATAACATATATTTGTTTTTGCATCATATATGCAGATATAGTAAAATAGCTAGATTATCTCTAAGAAAATACTAAAACAAGTTTTATATTTAATATGCAATTGAAGATTGCACTGTTCATCATAAATCTACTTTTCCCATTCTTATTGGAACAAGGAAACCAGGAGAGAACATGCCATGATTTGTCAGGCTAAAGCATTAACTTTTGCACCTTAAAGGTGACCCAGTTGTCAGACCTTCCAATCCCTCTTGCCTCTGTATAATAATATTGGGAGTAACGGATTCCTGTTTTAGAAAGAGAAATTTCACTTAATTGATTAAAACACTTTTAGTTCTCCCCCAAAGAAGTTGAATTGTAGAGCCTTCAGAGCCTCGCCCCCATATAATTTTATAGTTTAGTGACTTATGGAGTTAAATATTAACAATGCTAATTCTTGGCTATAAAAAAAAAAAAGCAGAGAGATTCATTATTTCATTTTCAAAGGTTTTTAACATCACAGTAAGATTTAACTGTTAGACTACAATATCTGTCCATGTTAGGAGTCAGACATTTTAAAGTATGAATGGATTATTTCTGCTTGCAACAAAATGTAGGTATTTTAAATCCAAGATTTTCATTCTGTTGTCATCTTCCAGTTTGGGCCTCCTTTTCCTTTCCAGTTCAATAACCAACTTTGATTTACTGTTGAAAAATATAATTAACATCATTAAGTTGCTCCTGAATGATTCTGAATAGAAAATGAAAGCTAATAGTTGATTGAGCCACATGAGCAGTGAGGGGAGCCAACCTGCTGTAAAGACACAGCACTGCTTTACATTTCTAAAGCATCTTTTCTTTCCTGTGTAAAGCTGTGCTTTGGCCACAGGTTCTCAGTGCTGCTCTTTGGATTAAATCAGCTGTTTGGGTCACATTTCTGTAATGAGCTGCTAAATCTACTGAATTTTTCAAAAGAAAATTAAAAATGTTGGTGTTGGGCCCATAGCTGTTTCTGGGAAATAATGTTGGCAAGAGCCTGTAAGGAGACGATTTAATGGCACCTGGGTTTTTGGTGTTCTTTGGTTTTAAATGTCAACCTATTATATAGTAAAATATTGCCTCACTACTGCATTAAGGCTACTGGATCCATTATTGGTAGGCAAGTCTACAACAGCAATGAATTCCTATGTACTGCCTTAAGCGCACAGGTTAATTTTGATACCCTGCCTCTGCGGGGTGGGGTGGAAATGTGGGCTGTGTAAATCGATACTTTATAAAACTCCAAGGCAGAGTGGTTTCTGAGAGAGCTGTCAGTCGAGAGTTGAATAATATGCATCTTTTATGTAGATGACTTCCTCGGGTAGTTTCTAACTGACCCATCTAACACAGTAAACTCCCAATTTGCTAAATATTTGATATACTGAATTTCTCCAGCATTTCATTTTTGCAGCAATGATGTTTATGAAAAAAGCAATAATAAAGTAATGTCCTGTGTGCCTGTCTCTTATTCTGGTCATTACATAAACAAGTAAAGTAGGAAAAATTTATAATTGGGAAAAGGAGACAAATGTACAGACTTCATCCTAATTCATAAACAGGCAGCTAACATACTTTTTATATATCAAAAGATGGAAAATAAATGTTATAAACTTTTTTGAATACGTTTCTGTTGATATTCACTTTTATATAGCATTTGAGCTGCGTGGTACTGCTAAATGGATCCTTCAAGCAGTGTACTAGTGATGATGTCATTTTTTGGATAAAGTAAAATCTTGCATATGTATCAATTTCCATTTTCACAAGACTTAATGCCCTCAACTTCCAGTTCTAATGATTACTTTCCTGCCCCCCTGAATTCTGTGTTGTGCTACCTGGTTTCAGTTTTAAGTAAGTATTCTGATTCACTTCCAGGTTGATTTGCTGCACGCTAACAACCAGTTGCAGCATACCACCCCAGTATTAGTGATATGTCTGTGGTGACAGTTGAACGGCTTGTATGTAGGACCATATCCTGCAAGCTTTTCTCAGTCAAAGTGCTTGTTATAATTTGAGTTCAGTGGGGGTATAAGGCTTGCCAGGATGTGGTCCATGGCTTGTAAAGCTGAGAATCTTCAGGGGACAAGGTACTTTTCTATACAAACATACCTTAAGTGGCATCTTTTGTGTATGTGTAAGTGTATGTCATGATGCAGTTCCAAATCGTAGTCTAAAACAAGCTGAGGGTATGGACGAACATACTCTTGGAGGCAGCTTAAGCAGGGAGGGAGAATTGCTGGCTGGGGTTGCATAGCAGCTGTTACGCTTTGTGTTGCATGAGCAGGAACCTGTAGTGATGCAGGTGAGCTAAACTGTCCCAACTGTAACTCTGGTTGAAGTATACAGTGTGACAGCTCCTGCACAGTTTGGAACAGCAGCAGCTCCCCCCAGTGCTCCAGGTGTATGTTTGTCCATACTTTCAGAGCAAGGTCTATTAGTGCAGATGAAATGCCAGTACTCCAACCATAGTGCTTTTAGTACCTCTACACAACATTGCATCGTGCCATGTAGACATAGCCTTGGTGTTGAGAGAACATTATGAACTATTAAACAAAAATCCTGATAGTTGTTAGCATGGGTTTTTTTTCATTTGCTGTGCATCTGCCATCCAAAGTATGATTTAATAGTTACTTTACAGCTTCTTTACTTACTGTGGTTCTTTGTCACAAAATAATAGGGTCATTGTTGAAACAAAGGGATATTAAACACTATACCATTTAAGCATTTAATTTCTGTGTGTGTAGATTTTGAAAATGTTATCAAATATATGGTAAATTTAATTTAATTTTAATTTGTAAACCGTAAGCATTAAAATGTGTTCAGAATTGAACATATCTGTTTATAGTTGCCTTCATCTTAGCCAGGAGCTCTGGCTGTCTTCAGTGTAGTGGGTGGGGAAAAAGCTGTATATAAGGATTTCTATCCTCCTGTTTCCCACTTATCTACCATCCCTGGCTCCTTAATGAAAT